GATGCTTTTTATTGACTATATCACTGACTTATTTGTCAGTAATAACTATGACATTATTTTGACTATAACTAATAAGTTCTTCAAAATGATTATTTTGATTGCTGGGAGAAAGAAGTGAGATATATTTTATTGAGTGAAAAGATTCTACAGCAAGATGATATGCTGTTGACAGCTGCCACTGATAATTATATTTGACTAAGATCTGAAGTTTATCTCTTACTTCTGAAAAAGTCTGCTTAGATTGATAAGTATTAAGAGCTGAATGACAATCATCTATAATTCACAGTCATTGATCAAAGTGAGCATAGCAATCTAATTATTAAAATCATGCTGCAAACACTTCTAGTGAGTAGATATGAGACAGATTGAAATATTCTGCTTCTGTAGATAGAATAAACTCTTAACTCAGTTACAGCTCATTCTATCTCAGTCTCATTATTTCAGCTTATGACAAAGATCAAATCACAGTGAATGCTGATTGTTAACAGAGAGAAAGATGATACAGTAATGAAGTTCATAGCAGAGTATGAGACTTTTCAAAAAGATATTCTCAAGCAATACATACTTGTTCAGATGAGAATGACAAAAGTCTTCAATCATATTCACCAGCTGTCTGACCTTCACATAGAAGACTGAGTGTTTCTTAATCTTGCTTAGAAAGCTTAGAAAGATTATATTTTAAAGAAATCATCAAAATTATCACCTTTACATATAGATTCATTTTGTGTTCTTGAGAAAGTGTCTGATGTTGTCCTCTAACTGAAGCTACTGTCTGATTAATAAATATAACGTAAACCGCCACACAACGCACGCCGCCACACAACGCACGCCCCAAAAAGCCGATTTTTGAACCCAACCTTCCACCTTCAATCATCTACAACATGCCAACCAAAGAAGCTGTAGAGCTCGCAGTGGCTGAATTCCTTTCGCAAGAGGCTGGCAATTATACTACTGTTGCAAAAAAATACGGAATTCATCGAACTACGCTTATGCGACGCGTTACGGGCAAATCAGTGTCTCGAGAAACTGCCGACTCCCTATATAGACAGAAACTTACGAACTCTCAAGAGGAAGAGCTTATTCGATATATAAATCGTCTTACGGACCGTGGCTTTCCTCCTACACCTCGAATTCTTCAAAATCTAGTTGAAGAAATCCTTCAGGAGCCGATTGGCGAGCATTGGATCTCTAGATTTTGTCAACGCCACAAGGATCGCATCAAAAGCCTATATTTACGAGCAATTGATCAAAAACGCAAGAGAGCTGATAATTCTGAGTATTTTCAGCACTTTTTTCAGCTTGTATTTGATTGATTTTTATTTACATTGCCTGCAATTTAATGAGGGGTTGCTAATGCTTGAGCATCTTAGCTAGACGAAAAGGTCAAAAAATTCAACATTCGACCATCTAATACGTGGAATCTTGATGAGAAGGGCTTTCTTATGGGCGTCATGCAAATCAGCAAGCGAATAGTCTCTGTACAGCAGCTTAAGAGCGGGAGCTTGCTAGGCACGATTCAGGATGGGAGTAGAGAATTCATCTCTTTGCTAGCCGCCATATCAGCCAGTGGAAGGTCAACGCCGCCAGGTCTTATATATCAGTCAGACTCCGGGGATTTGCAAGATACGTGGCTAGAAGATTTTGATTCTAAAGAGCATGAGGTCTTTTTTGCTGCCTCCCCGAACGGCTGGAGCAGTGATCAATATGGATTACATTGGCTGCAACGGGTCTTTAATCCTCATACAAAGGCTAGGAATGGAGCCTGGCGCCTGCTCATCCTTGACGGCCATTCTTCTCATGTCAATATGAAATTCATCAACTACGCTGATCAAAATCGTATTATCCTTGCTGTACTGCCGCCTCATTCAACTCATCGCTTGCAGCCTTTGGATGTTGGTATTTTTGGACCTTTATCAAAGGCATACTCTCAGCAGGTGGATTTATTCTTACGCTCAGCAATGGGAGGTGTATCCATTAAAAAACGCAACTTCTTTTTATTATTCCACAACGCCTGGAAGCAAGCTGTCACGAAGTCAAATATAGAGTCTGGATTTGCTGCTACTGGCATTTATCCTCTCTCACCAGATCGGGTGCTTAGCAAGCTTGCTAGACCAAGCACTCCAGTCACAGCAGAGCCAGTCACACCCACTACCATACGAGGACTGCGACGGGCAGTTAAGAAGTTAAATCAACGGCGAAGAATCTCTACTGGGTTCCGAAAAATCGTTCATGCTAGTGAAAGACTAGTTTTTGAAAAAGAGATTTTGCAGCATGAAAATAAGCTTCTATACGAAGCTTTACGAAAGGAGAAGAAGCGCCGCCAACGTGGAAAGCCTCTAGGTCTTGTGGATAAAGAGAATTCGCGTGCTGCTCAATTCTTTTCACCTTCTAGGATTGCGGCAGCACGTCAGCAGCTTGAGACCGACGAGGCTGCTAAGATTAGTGAGGCTGCTGAAAAAGCAGCAGGCAAGCTTCAACAGGATATATTACGTCAAGAGAAAGCGATTGTAAAAGCTGCAAAGCAAGCTGCAACTCGAGCTCTTAGGCTGGCTAATGCTCAGAAGCGAGAGAGACAAAAAGCTGAGGTTGCTGCTCGCGTGGCTGCTCGTAAACTAGCTGCTGAGCGAAAGAAGACTGATAAGGAAGCTGCTCAGCAAGCTACTAGAGAGTTAAAGCTTTCTAGAGATCAAAATCTCGTTGCCGCCGCCAGATCAGCCAGGTCAGCCAAATCCCCTACAAAGGCCGTACGAAGCCAGGGGCCTGGCGAAAAATCTAACCAGGCCAACCCTATACAACCTTCCCAATCCGGTAATCAGTCAATTACACGCCTATCAGCAAGCTCCCTACGACCTACTTCTTCTAGCAGTTCCTCCACGTCGCCGTCAATTCCTTCTTCGCCCACCCCGCAATTATCACGTTGTGGCCGCATTATTCGACTTCCATCTAGATTTTTGGATTAACTATACATTTTTATATGATCTATTCCTTCTACTAGATATATATTTTTAATTTAAATTAAATAAATTCATGGGTGGTTGAGAAATTGGTGGAATTCCTTGGGTGGTTGCTTGCTTGTAGAGGCGTGCGTTGTGTGGCGGCGTGCGTTGTGTGGCGGTTTACGTTACCTCATAATCTCCATGATTCATCTGGAAAAGACAAATTTAATAAGAGCAGACACTTATCACCTGCTGTCTGAACCAGTAATAGTCAATGATCAGCCACAATTTAAAGTTGAATGAATTATGAGGAAGTGAATCAACAATGAGAAAACCTACCTCCAGGTCAAATGGAAGGAATACAACAATCCCACCTAGGAACCCTCAGGTGACCTCTTGCAGGACTGCCCTGAGCTTGTCAAGGCCTTCATGGCAAAAAACCGCGTTGGCCAAAATGAATAAAGCAGATCACCCCCCCCAGTTCTACCTGCCTCTTTATTTTGACATTGCTTTATGTGAGTGCCTGAACCCCTTCTTTTGGACAGGGGGACTGTGGCGTTCCGCCCCTATTATTACCTGTGGTGTTCCACCCTGGTGTTCTGCCCCTATTCTTCTGCCCCTTCCTATATTAGTATCCACTCTCTATTCGCCCCTCCCTAATCCACTCAGGGGCCCCAATCTTTCCTATATTTCCTATCCTATGCGATCGCTCCTACCATATAGAGCGATTATAGTGTGTATATATAGCAGGGCGTCCGCCCATCTTATTAGAAGAGAATCAGACATGACTTATCCTACCTATTCGATTGCTTGTACGCATCAATTTTGGTGTTTTTATCATTTTGGTGTGGCGCACCCACATGAGGTGTGGGTTGCGCAGCGGCACGATTAGTTATTAACTAGTTAATTTCTCTTTCTCTTTCTTCTTTATCTTTTCTTTCTTCAATAGATTCGAAAATGCTCTGGAGACCTGTTGCTTTGTCACCAATTGCTCCCGTAGATTGAGGTATCTATTGGAGCTTGTTTGGGAGTACGCACCTGCACCATTTCCAGAAGCCCGATAACAGGGACGATCATCATCATGTTAATATGATGTCGTGCTCGATTTACGGCATTTCTGTTGTGATGTGTGGAGGGGTTTACGAAAACCTTGTTCGAACAAGGCAAAATTGTGAAATACCATGCTATCTATCATATAAGAGATTGTGGCCTCTTTAATTTCATTTAATATTGTTTTGGACTTACCTGCAACGTACAGGAAAATAAATTATATTACTTCAGCAGATCATCATTGGCTTACCGCCACGTAAAAAGCCTAATTGCTGCCCCTATACGAAGTATTCTCAATCCCTCCAGTCCCGAGTGCATTTACAGTGGTTGGAATATACAAACAATCTTGCTCACAATGGGTTGAATCGGCTTGCCCGCAATGGAGACGAAACCGAAGATCATCATCTTCAGCGACTTTGACAGAACAATTACCCTAAAAGATAGTATGTCTTCTCCTCCAGCCTCTTCATTTGCCCCGCGTTTTTCTTATTGGGAACTATTGCTTCTCCTTGGTGAATGAATAAGCTGTCGTGGTGTACCAGGAATGTTAGGGGTTATACGTACGGGGTATCATCGTGGATGGGGGTGGTGGATGTCCTGATTCTAATAATGATTTCTTATCCTTTTCATTTTTTATTCCCTAATGATCGTGTATAGGCGATGATTTTTATGGTTGAGCTAAAGCTATTTTTCTATTTCATTTTTCTTTCTTATTTCACCTAAAAAACTACGGGCTTAATTTCCCTGGGCCAGTGTAGGGATGGCCTTATCAAAGGTTATAACGTTCAACGGCTAACCACGAATACTGCTGCGAGATGAAATAGACCGATGATCTGGGCTTTGGACCGGCAAAACACCGACGGGGAAACATTGACATGCTTGAAAACAAAAGACGTTCCGGTACGCATATATACTTCCTATAATATACATAGCTACTTATACATACATATATAAAGCAGCCGCCTAAACACCGACTTAACGCTATCCAATAACTCCAGCGACTCCTTCCGTGAGATGCTCGACAGCGTGAAACCCTTCAACGAATGCATTCGCATCCTGCTCGAAAGCGTGCAACTGGACCCTCACTTCGTCGAATTCTACGATTGGTCCAAGGTGCATAATGTGCCCCCACAGTCATCCTTTCGTCTAGAATGGTACCCGTTATTCATGCCCTACTTGTCAAGCTGCTGGGCCACGAGCCGGATAATATACAGATTGTCGCCAACGAGGTTGCTAGCAGGGATGGCAAAGATATACACTTCGAGGGCGGGTGGCATATTGCTTATCATGACGATAGGTGGGCCGTTTTAAAAAGAGTGAAATGAAAAATTAAAACAAAAATAACAAAGTTATCACTATATGAACTGCATCGTATTGCTAATCAATCCCACCTAAAACTGACAGCGACTTCGGCCACGACAAGTCCCTCGCAATCAAACCCTACGCCGCCCTCTCGGCGAACGAGCGTCCCATCCTTCTCTACGCCGGAGATGGCGTTACGGATCTATCATCAGCTTCACAGACGGGATCTACTCTTCGCCAAGAAAGGACATGGTAGGCATATTTTAAATCCATGGAATTCAACCGAGGATCTTCGTGCCGCTAACCTATGTCAAACTCTCTGAATATCTATAGACTTCATAACATGCTGCAAACGTGAAAAAATCCCCTGCACCGTCTTTGACGACTGGTCTAACATTTTCCAGAAGTACGAAGGAGCTTTTGGAGGGCAAGACAGATACAAAAGCTATTGTCGATGGGCAGTATCAGGGAGTGTGCTGGTGCGAACCAGTTCATGAGTTTTCTTCTACTTCTACTTCTTCTTCTTCTTCTTCTTCTTCTTCTTCTTCTTCTTCTTATCTATTTATTTATTTTATAGAGGGATTTTGGGACAATGCATGAAAATGAAATAGACAGGAAAGAAAGAGGATTGAAAAATTATGGGCTGTTTTACATGGATGTTATAAAGGTTACGGGATGTTTGACGGTTGAAGGCTTAGATATTCCGGACCTGATCTTGACGTTTTTGTTCTTAACGATTGTGTGTGGTCCATGTCAAGTCACTTTAAATGACATTCCATAGATCAAGGGTTCTTAGAATCGCAACCGAGTTTTTTTATCCATTGTTGACTGTTGACGCTGTGTTACTATTCATATTGGAACTTGAGGATGAAAACGATAGCAGTACGGATAAACTTATGTGGGCAGAGCCGTATGAAAATTAACCAACCCTTAAGAAAAATGTGAAAATGGCAAAAAGGACGACTGAAGGAAATTCAGGTGTAGATGCTTTGACCTGATACACCATAGTCCCAGTTACCAAATACGGTGCGACAGTAAAACTGGATAAAATAGACGGACAAATGAGTAGCGTCTCACTCATGCCATCCATACATCCATTCCCATATCCGATTAGGAATGGAGGAGATTGCTACTGGATACGCAGCCACAATTCCTCCCAATCATCCGTTTAAGGGATCTTCAACTTAATCTCCTTACAAAACCATCTGCCATGTAACAATTCGCGACCTCATGGCCTTCAGCACTCCCAAAGGTAGCAGCTCTGTGTCGACCAACTCCAACCCGCCAAACTTCTCAAACACCTCATCTGCATAGAAGTTCACCGTCCACGCATTCTCGTCCGACATACGCGATGGATGCACATCAGGCAAGCCTCCCCCTCCGGCTTTAGCGTCTCGTCCACGCCAACGCCGGCCGCGGCGCATAATCTTCCTCTTCCCACTGCTCCCATCGTCATGTCGATATGAAACATTACATAGAGCCGTAGATACACGCTGCGGATGCTCGATCGTTGATTTAAACGGCTTCTCCATGAGATATTCCCACAGCTCACGGAAGTGGTCGGACGCACACTCGCGCCAGCGTCCATACTCTTCGTACGAGGGGAATCTCTGCGCATCCGTTTTCCAGGGTAGCACTGACATAGATACGTGGTGTTCACCAAAGTCATTGTCGTCCTCGTCTTTGAACTCGGCTCTGTAGCGGTGGCGGCGTTGGCGGTCTGTCAGTGAGAGAAATTCTTCTTTTGCTTTTTCGTAGCGGTCACGCTCGTCTTTGTGAAAGGTGACCATGAGAGCAGCTGGATCTAGGCAGAGGTTATCGATTACTAGGAGGAGCGGGGTGAAAGGGTTGAGCAGACCAAGTCCGCCGAGAGTTTCGGGGAGGTAGAGGAAGGAGTCCGTGATAGGAACGGACGGGGAGAAGCGGGAGGATATGGTGCGGGAGAGGTGGTCGGTTACGGTTTTTGCGCCACTGGAATCATTAAAGAGGTGGGATTGGATTCGTATGTGAGCTTCGAGGGTCTTTTCAACATGATCACGACCAAAGCAGTTTGCAGGACTGAAAGTTTGGTGGTTAGTTTCTGATCGAATGTCATAGACACCTGATAGGACAGTATATACTCACTCCGCAAAGGTATAGCTAAAGAATCGCCCAATGCAGCTATTCCACGTCTTTATCCATTCAAGCACACTCTTGCAGCCCGCTAATTGCTTCTGTAGCTGTTTGACATGTTCCAGCACATGCTCCTCGTTAATGACCCAATTTCCTGATTGGGGATCGAGGACCATAAAATCCATCACGACAGGACCCTCAGGCAACGCCTTGACCACTTCCGGCTTCTTAGTCTGCTTCCCTTCAACTAGATAGACAGATCCGGTCTTATTTTTGTTGAACTCCAAGCCCATGACCTTGGCAAATTTCTCCATAGTCTGCCACGCCCTGGCACATTGGTCGGGTTTCCCACAGAGCCAAAGATCATCATGGAAGCGATACAGAATCATGCCGCTGTTTTGGTTGACAGCTACGTCCATGAAGAACATGACCATTTCACCCATGAATTTTTCAAAGATATGGGCCATGGGTAAACCGCGCTTGCGGATGCGGACAGGCTTTCCGTTAAGCATGTCTAGAGGGGGTTCCAGAACCTGTTTAAAGAATGTAATACATTCCTCTTGGAAACCCATGAATCTGAGCACGGCGAAAATGCTTGTATGTGCCAGCCCGGTAGCGAACCATTGAAAGTCACTCTGGACAACAGCGGCTTCGCCGTCGAGCGAGCGGCGAACAAGAAATTCCGTCGTTAATGTACGCAGCAGTAGTTGCTTAATCTCCTTGGGTGATAATCGTTCCTCCCTACCGTCTGACGAGTCGTCATGGTCGCCATCATCGTCATAATTTCCTGCCTCCTCAAAGAGTTTGGATGGCAGTGGTGCGAGGAGGAAGTGCTCCCTGTAAGTTTCCTGTCGCATTGCCTCAACATTTGAGAGGTTTTCACGACTCACATTGGCAGCAGAGCCCAGATAATATCGCTGCTTGGCTTGGTCCTCCCGTGGTATGTTGGTGTTCTGCTTCCAGAGCTCGATATCCGCTTGGATACTTTGGAGAATTTCTTTCAGCTCAACTGCCCATATTGTCCCTATCCAGTGAGTGAAAATGGCTTGGAGGACATCGTCATCCATCATCACTCTCCATTTCCCATTAGCACTCTGGCGTCTGTAGGTAGAAGGTTAGTGCAATGAGGTAAGTTGTTTCTACAGAGAGGGAGGGCCTAGAGCTAAAAACAAGGCGGGGATACTCACGGCACAACAGGCATACCCCGATCCCCCAGCCCCCATGACCAGTTCTGAATATTTGCATATCTCATATTCAAAACATCACTGATTTCATTGAGAACATCATCGTCACGGAGAAACTCACGAAGACTAGCCTTTTTCTCATCATCGAACAAGTCCACTTTTAGCAATGACTTGATACACCATTGCAAACTCCGGTTATCAAAGAGTTTCCTATTTGCAAGGAAAGATTCCCCTTTCCTGCTAACCCGCGCTCTGAGACGTTTCAAGGAGTCACCACCAGCTTTAGATTTGAATAGTTGGCGGAGATAGTTGTCAATTTCCAATTCATCAGTCTCCAAAGGCGTAAAGACTACCTGCTCAAACATGTCACGTAGCTGCTGCAATCTCTCTTTATGTATGTTCTGGACAACATCGAATGAATCCTCCTTGTCCAGGGTCGGAGAGGAGGGCCCCTCGTTCGCGCCCTTGGGCGCATCAATCCACTCAACCAGTAGTCTGGAGTACAGGTCGGCAAGGTCGAGTTTCCGAGATTCGGCCTCGAGTTTAACGCGCAGCTGCTGCTCGAATTTACACAAAGCGTCTTCATTGACTGATGGATCGTAGGCTGATTGATGAACCCAGTGGCGAATGTTATCTAGCTGGACTAGCTCATTTTCCGGCCATATTATATCCAGTTTCTTCAAGCCATCGTGCAGATGAGTGATCCTCTCTCTCCTGTCATCCCCAACAGAATCTACATCGGCGAGGATTTGGTCCTTGAGTTTCTGATAGGCTTGACGCTTTTTCTCGAGCTCCTGGACCTTTGTCACGGTGATAGAGTGTAGGGTCTGGGAGAGAATTGAAGAGGAGCTCATGGTGGAGAGTTGCTGGTAACTCTGAACTTGATAACTAACTAATTGTAGTTAAGGGAAACACTCTTCAGTCATGAAGTTTGGTGAATTCTTCCGCGCTGCTGTTCTTACAATTCTCCAACTGTCGGCTGGCGATTGAGTCTTTCTTATATAGCCATCCAAGTAGGTTTGTAGAGAAGTCTGCCTACACGGACCTAGGCATCTTGTTGCCTAAATATTTCCTGCAGAGGCACAAGTTCCCATCCAGTTTCACTGTTTTCTGTGGCGCTTGTTGCCCTAATCAAACAGCTTGCATTAGTTAGTTAACATATTGACCACTCAACATTTTCCACCACTGAATGATTTCATAAATTCCACCTCAAATTCTTCAACTTTAAACCTCAACATCATGATCAACAAAGCTGCAATTTAGCTTGCAATTGAAGATTTAACATCACAAGAATTTCCAAATTATAAATAAACTGCTTTGAAATATAAAATCAGTCTGACTACATTGACATAGCAGCATAAAGATGAGCAGATTTGCAGATCTAATACAACATCAAAATATCACAAAAAGTTAATCAACTCACAAGAAGAAACACTTATTCAATATATAAATCATCTAGCAGATTATAGCCTTGCTTCTACATCTCAAATAGTATAAAATTTAATGACTAAGTTTATTAAAGAATTTATTAAAGAGTACTAAGTGAATTAATTTTATCAATATGATAAAAATAAGTTGAAAAGTATCTATTTGCATACAATTGATTAAAAGCAATAGATTACAGACAATTTTAACTATTTTAAAGATTATTTCAAGCAGATTAATCAAGTACTTACTGTCTTTTTCTGTCAGATTTACAGACTACTAATAAAATAATTTTATTTCTAATTAATTATAAGGGGTTGAACCTCTAGATTCGCTCTGGCTGGCTGACTCAGCCTAGCCATCATTTGCATGTGTGCACATGATCATGCTATGCGAGCTCACTTAAGCTTGAGTTCTTGTCTCATTTTTTTCTTTCCTTTCTCAAGCAATTCATCCTTGTTATATAGGAAGACTAGCCTCTAGTTCTTAGAGCTTAATTCTTTACATTATGAATTGCTTGACTTCTTTCATTGAT